CAGGGTATTGTTTCTATCAGGCAGCTAGGGGTTTCTAGCTGTATCGTAACCTTAATGTCTAGCTTAGTTTCATTGTGATGGGAGAGATTCTCTAAATCATGGCAGTTTAAAAAAATTGTTACCTTCTCTATCTCTGCACTTGAACAACTTTGGTAAAATTTTCCTATGAACCTGAGGGAAGGAGTTGGGCTGCTGCACTCAGCTCTGTGCCTGTTTGCTGATCAGGCTCGCTCCTTGGCTGCGCAAGGGCTTTGCGTCTTTGCTTCTGGTTGTTTTTGCTGGGAATGTGAGGGGTGCTGACGTCTCCCACAGGACTGCGGGCCTGCCTGCTTCTCTTCTCTGTCTCCTCTGCTCTGTGTATTCTGACCCCCGCTGCTGGGTGCACACAGGTTCAGGGATGTGAAGCGTGATATCTGGCTTGAGGTTGCTTCTTTCACTATCATGACATGGCCCCTTTGCCTCTCGTCACGTTTCCTGTGTTAAAATCTGCCTTCATGCCGCCTTGGGGGGTATAGGATCATCTCTTCTCTTCTATGTGGTCACTAAAAGTGTGTTCTTTGTAACATTAGTTTGTTGATTTTTAAAAACAGTCTGATAATCTCGGTGTATTATCAGTTGACATTTAATTGTGGCGTCACTAGGTTTATATTTGGCCTATTACTATGCTTTTCTATTTGGCTCATTTTGAAAATGCTTTTTGCCCCTCCTTTCCGGTCTCTCTGGATGAATCAGACATTTTCCCTTTTGTTGATTTGTTAGCCTTACACCCTTTTTCTATTCTTCCGTGCTCGCTGCAGGTCACAGTGTAGATATTTGGCTCCTTGCAGCTGGACACCAAGCATGGCGGTGCCCACATCTCCAGTGACGCGGAGCCGGCCCTCACTGCCTTCTCCAGCCCCGTGTCCTTGTCATGGTCATTGTGTATTTTAGTTCTGTCAGTATTTTGAACCCTCATGCCATGTAATCATTAGCTCACTATATTTTACCTTCTGTTTTGATGCTTCTTGCATTTCCATGCTTTCCTGGGATTTTCCCTCTGTCTGAAATATTCTTTTGTAAAAACCACCTGCTCACGGCACAGTCCCTCGTTTCTTTTATTTGTCTAAAAGGGTCTTTAATTCATCTTCATTACGAAGGAAGAATTTGAGGCCTATAGAATTCTTGATTGGCAGGCACAATCTGGTAAGGGTTAGTTTGTGGGAGGCACTACTGGGAGGTGGCGGAGGCTTTAGGAGGTGGCACCCAGTGCGGGGACTTGAGGCCTTGGGGGTTCCCTTGCAGGGGACCTTGGAATTCCAGCCCTGTCCTCTTCCTCTCTGCTCCTTGGCTCGCAGTGTTAGTGGCTTTGCTGTGCTACCTGCTCTCGCCACAGTGTGCTGCCTCTCCGCAGGCCCAGATCATGGCACCAATCCATCAGGGACTGCGACCTGTAAAACTCAACCTTTTCTCTTTATAAGTTAACTGTCTCTGGCATTTCAGTCTAGTGAAGGGAAACTGACTAATTCAGCAGGTGTCTTTACTCAGAGGATGTCATTCATTGCTGATTTCCTCATTCCTATTTAGAAGTCAGCCATAAGTCATACTGCTGCTCTGTTGTGGGAAAATGTCCTTTTTCTTCTTTGCAGTGTTGGAGATGGGAACCCAGGGCCTCCTGCATGCTAAGCAGGCTGCCAGGTGCTGAGACACATCCCCAGATGCAAATGTCTATTTCAATCTCAGGCTGCTTTTAACACTTTCCCTTTGATCTTGGTTTTGATCTGTGTGACACTTCCCCTGAAATGTGATTTTTCTTCAGATTTACCCTGTTAGTGATTTGCTGAATTTCTTGAATTAACAGGTAGATGTCTCTCATTCCTTTTGGAAACTTCCCAAACACTCTATCTTCAAATATTTTTTTCCTAGCCCGTTACCCTGTTCTATTCTTCGGTGACTCCAGCTTCATGAATGCCCCACGAATCTCTTATGTGATTTTTTTCTGATTCTTTGTTCTCTCTGTGCTTTGTGGAGGGTGTTTTCTGTAGATTCATCTTCCAGGTCACAAATCTTGCACTGTTAACCCACCTGTTTACTTCCTAGCATCGGGTGCGACGTACCTCTGGTTCATCCGTTTCATTCTCTCTTACGGATTCCAAATCTCTGGAATACTCCCCTCTGCTTTTGGCTAGTTTTGTCTTCCAGTCCCTTGAATGTGTTAGAGGTGATGATTTCAGAGTCCGTGGGTGCCAGTCCTTGTTGGTCTGACTTTTCTCTGGATCATCACTTGCATATTCTTGCTTTTCTATGGGTCTAGAGATTTTTTTTTTACAATAAATGTAAACGGGACATTTTGTACAAGGAGTGACGGAGGCTCCGGATGACACATTACCTGCATTTTCTCTCTTGTGTTGGCCAGTTCAGCTGAGGACTAAGAAGGGTCAGGCTGGGCTGCAGGATTAACGAGACTTGGTCACCTCTGCATACCCTTGGTGCTGGGTGTGGCACTCCTGGAGTATGACTGGCTGCTTTGCGTATCTCAGCCCTGATGGGCCCCAGCAGACGGCTCTCCGCCCTCCAGCATGAGCAACCCAGCTCTCCGGCCAGCCCAGGCCCTACCCTCCAAGCCCTTGTACTTTGCAGATCTGTCAGGTATCTTAAGTGAGGACAGCTGTGTGTTGGAGGAGGGCAGCTTCCTCTGGGTGGTCTCTGACTCCTCTGAGACCCTGGAGATCTCACTCTGTCCTTTGAAAGCCATTTGTCCCTGGTGGAAAAGTGGCGGTGTGTTTAAATCCCCTCAGGTTTCTTGTTTGCCCCTGGGACTCACCTGGCTCCCACCAGTGTCTCTGGTTCCTTCCCCTCCCTCCCTGGGCCTCTGCCTGGGCCAGGCCCGACATCCTCTCCCAGAATCAAGAGTGGCCCAGAGGAAAGCCAAGGCCGTCGGAATGCTCCCCCTGGTCTGTGTTGAGTTTGCTTAGGCCTCACGGCTTCTGTGGCTCACGGATGCCCTTATGGTGAATATTTTTTTGTACCATTTAATTTTTATAATTCACCTGCATTTTTCTAATTTTACACTGGGGACATTGGTTTACTGCCCTAGAAGTTCCTGCAGCCTTTATTTGATCAACCTGCTTGGGCAGATTCCCCGAGTGATGTCCTTGTTTGGAGAAAATCAAGTTAAGAGATTCAGCTTTCCTCATGTTTAATGACAAAAATGCTTATTCTTTCATTCCATCAAACAAATTGAATCTTTATGAAATTAAGAAGACAAATGCTCACTTCGGAAAAAGCGGAGACCTCAATTAGCACTGACGACTCTGATCTAACAGGTGTAGGCTTTTCCTGGTTGAACATGACACCTAGAGATATATTTTCTGAGTGACAAAAGGAAGCCTTTACATAAAAGTCCCTCTGATTTATGAGGCCTTTGAAGTGTCTGTCCTTGTGCCGTAAGTCTTTTGGGCCGTGTTCAGCGTTCTCGTGCCCAACGATGGTTCTGCGTGTTAATTAACGTTCTGTTTTCTATTTGTCTCTTTAGGGACCTTTCAGTCCTCTGGAAACATCTGTGATAGCGGAGTTTGAATTTCCTTGTTTGACATCAGAGTCAGGAGCGCTGGATGCAGGTCCACTCCAGGCTGGGTTTTTCCTTGGGTCATGGCGGGACTGTCCTTGGCTTTGCTCTTTCTTCTCCAGAACCCCCGTCTGGAGAAGAGCTAGTGTGGCTCCTGACGCGGGTGGAGGGCCGGGCGCTTCACCTTCCCAGGTCCCACAGCTGTGGTGGAAGAAGGCTTGTTCTTGTTTCCAGGAGAGGAAGCCCAGCCTCCGAGTGGGTGACCAGCACCCCAGGTAGCTCACACGTGTGCAGCCTGTTGGGAGGACAGTGACACCCCGTCCCCTGAAGGAGCTCTGCAGGACTCTCCAGGTCCTAACTGTTTTGTAAGTAATGCCCTCGGATCAGACAGCCAGTGAGTGTCACCCTAGAACGTGAAACCAGGCGACTGCTTTCAGACAGGGATTTTCCAGAAGTTTCAGGATGTGAGAGGCCAAGGGCAGGGAAGGGATTCTAGGAGGAACTTTAGTTTCCTCTTTGTGGTGCTAGGGATGGACCCCAGGGTCCTGTGCACGTTAGATGGGCACCTATAAGGAGCCATGGGAAGAGTCACCTTGACATACAAGGACCCCAAACTAAGTGTTTAGCTCCAAACTGCTGCTGGCTTTTAGGAATAATGGGAGAGCAAAAAGTCTCTGCACTTGATTCAACAGACATTTCAGCTAAACATGGCTCCAATCTGCTGTGCCCTGCCCCCATGTCGGTCAGTGCCACGTCCCGTCAGGCCTTCACAGCGTGTGGGACGTCTCCAGAACCTGGTCCCTCTCACCCTCATCCTGTTACTGGTCCACGCTGCCATCTTCTCGAGATTGCACCGTTCCCTACAGGGTAACGTCACAACAGCAGGTGCTGGTGGCACTTGGGACTCTACTGCTCTTCGCACCAGCCGGCCAGCTCCCTGCTCAATCCCCAGCACCTGCAGCAGGGGCTGCCACGTGGACGTTGCATTATTAAGTTTTGAACCACAAATGTTTTGTCACGCAGTGACCAGCTACATGCGCTCAGTGTCCTTTCATGGCAGGGTACAGGATAAAGCACCAGGGACAGTTCAGCCATCGGGGCAGTGATGTCCTCTGGCACTTTCTAGCAACGTGTGTCACACACGGAACCCTCTCTGCAGAGGAGCACATGGCACGTGGGTGAGAGCTGCCAGCGTGGCTTTAAGCCCCAGAGCCGCCTGCCCCGGAGCACAGCGAGCCCAGGCCCGAACCCCAGCTGGACAGCATGTGTCCACAAGGACCAGGGCATCCCGGGCCCTGGGGGACCTGGGCGGCTGTGGGTGCTGGGACACCTGCTTCCCTGCTCCCACGCCTGATGTCCTCCCCAGGGACACCCCTGGCAGCATCAGCAGAGACAGAGACGTGAAGACACGTTGGTAACTGAAGTGTCCCTGGATGGTCTTCTGCAAATTACTCACCACTGTCGATGGCCAGGAAGAGGGCAGTGTACACGCTGTTGTGGACAAACGGGGACTCCCGGTCCAGCACGGCTGTGGTGTCCACCGTGCCATTGATGGGGTTGATGTTCAGCCAGCCTGCGGGGTCCTTGTAAACAGAGTACCTGAAAAAACAGGACAGACAAACAACGTCAGACGGCACCTGCCCTGGAGTCCAGCAGGCCTGAGTGGGGGGCGCGAGCCCGTCTGGGCCCCGGGACTGGCTGGACACGGACCCAGAGCCTCGCTTCAGTGCAGTCGCTCATTCAGAGAGTGCCAGCTCTGAGAGCGGCTCCCTGTGCCCGCAGCCTCGGTCCTCCTCTGGACGGGCCAGGGAGATGCCCCTGTGGGAGCGGACGGGTTTGGAGAAGCAGATTCTGAGGATCCCGGAGCTCCCCCTGAGGGCTGGGCGCTGACACGGCCAACCACCAGCCACGAAGGACCTCAGGTTGTCACTAAGTCCAAAGCTTAGTGACGCCTTGGCCCTCATGGAAGCCTTCTCCCAGGGAGCCGCCCACCGAACCTGACACATCCCTTGAAATGGGCGGCCTTGGGAACAATGGCCACTTCCATAATCCACCTGAGGGAGCTTTGCTGCCATCCCACAGTCTCTGAAACGCGTGCCCCAGGAGACACGTGTCCCCGCAGCCCTTCAGTCTGCTGACGAGGCCTGAAGACGACCACCTCTGCCGGGCACGGCCAGGGTGGGGTCTGAGGACGTTTAAAACGCAGCTTCACCAGCAGGTGAGGAGCTCGTGAGCAGCCGGAACACCCGAGTCCTCAGGCCCTCCCCCTGCAGCCCAGAGTGTCACCTTGAGGGTGAAGACATTGCAGATCTGGTTCAGTTAACGACCTGCGAAGGGGAGGCTGATCTGGGTCATCTGGGTGTGGGAGTGGTGAATGCCAACACGGTGCCCTCATAAGAGGAAGAGAGGAGATGGGAGGCCCACAGAAAGGAGGACCGTGTGACCCTGGAGGCCGAGAACAGAGGGGCACAACCCCCAGCCAGGGACACCGAAGTCAGCAGAAGCTGCAGGAGACAGAGACAGCTCTCCCCTGGGGCTCTGGAGGGAGTGTGGCCCGAGTGACACTGTGATTTTGCACCAGGGAGAGGCCCCTGCCGAGCCTTAGTCCTGGACAGCCTCGGGGCTCACAGTTGGTTCAGCAGTGACTCTCGATGGCAGCCCCCAGCGTTACGCTGAGTGTGGACAGTGCCAGGCCCTGCTCGCTGGGCCCTGGCGCCCACCCGGGGTCAGTTATTCCCTCCACAGATGAGGACCCCCAGGGCCCCGTGTGCTTCGTCACTGTGCTGCGTCACCAAGCTGCCCCACTGCCTTCTGCTTCCTCCCCTGTGAGTCGGGGACCGTCGCTGTGGCCTCGTGGGGTGGCTGGCAGGCAGAGGGAGGTGCAGTCTGCTCTCAGAGTCGGCCATGAAGTGTCGGGGTTCACGGCCGCGGCCAGGGTGTCCCCTCTTACCCCATCCGCCCGGGGCACCGTGTGGGGGATGTTCTGTGAATCCGGAGGACAGGGCTCCAGAAAAGCCAGACAGACAGATGGAGAGAGCCGCGGGGCCTCGCCTGGGCCCCACCGCCTGGCGCCTCAGTTAGCATCTCAATATTTTTTAAAAACAGAAGTGAGGTATTCCTCATGAGAACGGACTGCTTCAAAAACACCAGGCCTTCATTTCAACGATAATTTACACTTCCACTTGGCAAGCGCCTACTATTTTTCAAGACTCCACTCAACATCTCCACTTGGTCACCCTGTGACTTCCTGGGTGGAATCAGTCGCCCTGCATGGGTTCTTGCTGCACTGGCCCAGGTTAAAACGCTGGCGGGACCCCAACGTGGGCCCGTGTGGATCTGCTGCCTTCACCAAACGCTGAAGACTTGGGGTCATTGTGAGGTTAAAGTTGGCCAAAATTAGCCAAGAATGCTTATGTGGACTTAGCTCTGTGCTAAACTCTATGGGTAGCACCACTTTAATTTTGGGGTCCACAACAACCTAGTGATGTGGGTATTACTCTTATTTTGAAAACAAGGTAACCAAAAATCAGAGAGGTTTAGCAACTCACCAAAGGCCGCTCAGCTAAGAAGTGGCAGGACTGAAATTCAACACAGTTCTGTTGGATTCCAGGGGCTGCACTTTACCCAGCATGGAGTCCGCCCAAGGCCAGCTGTTGTCCCTTCTGTGTGCCCAGGGTGGAGTGGAGTGCCTGGCATGAGGTGGATGCCCTGTAAATGTTGACTGAATTGTTCCCCTTTCAGGGGGGCAGTCGTGGGAGGGGAAGATGCAAGGGAAGGTGACATTGTTTCCATTTTGCCAGGTCACTAGCTGGCCGTTGATCCAGGAGTGATTTGTGGTGGCTCAACAGATTTGAAGTAATGAAAATTTTAAATGGGCCGTATTTAATTCCCTGATCACTCAGCTGAGTTTAGATATGAATAACATTGAATTAAGTCATCTGGCCTTCACCTGGGCATGCAAACAGTGCTCTCTTTCTCTCATTCTCTCATTTTTTTGTCTTATGATGCTGCGATTTTCTGTACGATTAACACCTTTGCTTGTTCTCACGTCGGGAGTGGTGAGAGCCAGATAAATGCTCAAAGCCATCCCTAAAATCCCTGTTTGCGTCACATTCCCTGGGACGCCGGGGCTGGCGTGGTTTTGTGGGATGACATCTCACTACTTTTCATTTTATATGTCGTAGCTCAATTTTCAGTTTTTTGGGAAGCCTCCATACTGTCATAGGACCCAGCCATACCACTCTGTGGCATTTTTCCAAAGGACTGCAAGCCAGCGCACCAACCCACCCCCCCCCCCACCCCCCGTGCTCCGTGCGCTCCTGTCTCCTAACAGCCAAGTAGTGGAGCTGGCTGGGTGGAGCTGGGTGTCCGAAAGCAGACAGCGGATGAAGAAAATGTGGTTCACATACACGATGGAGCTGTACTCAGCCATACAGAAGAAGGACATTGTGTCATTTGCAGGAAAATGGCTGGAACTGGAGAGCACTGTGTTAAGGAAATCAACCAGACTCGGAAAGTCTAGTGCTGTGGATTTTCTCTGCTGTGTGGATGTAGAGGGAAAAGGGATCTTGTGAGGGTGGAAGGGAGAGTGGTAGGAAGAGGACGGTGGCAGGGGCGGCAAGGGAATGACGCGGATCCTCTGATGTCAGTGTGACTGCGCCACACTGTATGATTGATGTGCGCCAATCAAAGGTGGGAACTCATGTGGCACCTGTGGCTGTGCTAGCTGTGCTTTAAGGTGACCATTTAACGTTGCTGGTTTCTATTGCTCACCATCTTGTGCCTCTTCCCATGGACACCTCGTGCTGTGCTACCTTGCTGCCCAGCTTGGCTCTGCCCAGAACGGCACCCCTAGGCAGGGCAGGAGAGGGCCAGATGCCAGGCCGGCTCACTGCACATGTGACCCCAACCACGCCGGGCGGCGCTCAGCGATGGGGCCTCCTCCCACCCAGCTGCCCGGGACTGCCAGCTGCCTGTTCTTCCACTTTCTGGCTTTTGAGCACTTTTGTCAAATCAGCCTTTTTGATCAACTGACTGGGCACGCTATGTAAATTTCTGACATTTTAAAGCTGTCTTTTTAATAAACCTTTCAGTATAAAAACACCAGCATGCAAGATGTTTTCTGTGCTTCTAGGACTGAAAAATGCATATGCCTTATTAAATTGGAATTTCCGGGCAATTTATCTGTAATGTGAACTTTGCTTGATACAGGATAAAAAAAAAATCAAATTAAAACTGGAGTTCATTTCAGTCTGTAATGCAGCTTCTCGGAGCTGCTCTGGGCTCTCGCCAAGCCCTGGTCTCGTCTGGGTGTCAGCGTCAGAAGATGCAGGCAGACAGATGAGCCGTGTCCTCCTGGTGTCCCAGCAGCTGGGGGTGGGGAGGAAAGCTGGCCGCCAGGGGAGGGCCAGGGCCAGGGGTCCACCCGGAAGGACACTCAGAGCTAAGGGCGGCCAGTCTCGGTCCTTGGGGGTGACCTTGCTGGGGAGGAGGAGGAGGCCCAGGGCTTGACAGACCCCTTCTGCAGGCTTTTCAGGGTCACTCTTTATCGTGATGTAGGGAACCCATATCTGTGCAGCGTGGGCACCCAGGTTCCATGAGGTAATTCCTTTTATTTTAGACATAAATAGGTCACCAAGTTATGTAGTGTTCCTGGGGCAGGAAGAGCCAATGGCCCAAAGCCATGAAATAGAGCATCAGAAACAGCTGTTTCTGTACCGTATGGAGATGCCTATGTGTGTATCACAGCTGTCTATCTGTCCATCCATCCATCCATCCATCCATCCGGTACAGAGAGTTCTTTCTATTGTTACTTCTACATAATGGGAAGAGATACATAGATCTTCTACATAAGATTTTATGTGCATATGTATATATCCATATATATGGAAATTTGCTACTTGATATGCATGGCAATCAGGTGGTTTGGAAAAGCCAAACCCTTTAATAAATTGTGTTAACTCATTTTAGCCTTTTGGAGAATAAAGAAGTTGGATATCTTTCTGATCTCAGTTCCCAAACTAAATTCCAGATGGATTTAAAAAGCGAAACTTACAAAAAGTCTTAGAAGGAGATTCAGGAAGCGGGGAAACGAAGGATCACCCCCCAGATGTAGAAGGAGCTCCCACAGCCAGGGATGCGCACAGCGAGCCCACAGCCGCGGGACGGCGGACGGTGCCCGACGCAGGACTCCCCCTCACACAGCGTGACGGGATCTCAGCTGACGGCTACCCTTTGCTTACCATTTTCTGCCTCTCAAAGTCCCACAGTCGGAAGCGCAGTCTTGGCCTGATGGATTCCTCCTGTCACTGTAGCCCAGTGACTCTGTGTTCGTGGCCCAGGCCACACAGGTTCCCTCTCCTCATGTGGAGGCCTAGAGTGTGTCCCGGCCTCGCGGGGCTGAGGTCCAGGGGTGGGCGGCCTGTGTTCCTCTGGAGGGCACAGGACAGCCTCTTTCCTTGCCTTTCTTGTTCTGCAGGCAGCTCACGCCCCTGGCCTGTGGTCCCTCCCTCCCCCTTCAAGGCCAGCCACAGCTGGCCACAGCTGGCTCCTGGTTAGACTGAGCCCACCCAGAAAATCCAGGATAACATTTTGATCTC